ATGACTCAGTCATTTGTTGATGCTAAAATGAAAGATGCCTGTTCCTCTCAATTGCAGTATTTTTTTCCATCAAGGAAAAGAGAAAACCTATGCAAACAGCTGCTTTAAGTGAAGCTAAATATTCTGGTGAGGCCACAGCAGTACCTATAGGTAGGAGATGGAGGGCCTTGTTGGAGCTGAGGGGAGGTTCACACTGGTACAATGTCCAGCTCTTGCCTGGGCATAATGTCTCACAGCCTCCCAAACCTTCATCTCCTAAAGGTTTCATGAGGGTCCCATGGCAACCCTTTGCAGCCCACTTACGAGATTGCTTTGAAGATGGGGAGACAAAAATGTGAGGAGAGGCTGGATGAATTTCCAAGTAAGGGACCCTGCCTCCTGCTGCAGAATTTATTTTTCCTATACTAGCTCCAGTGAGAATTTGAGCAGAAACTGCCCTGACTGTAACCATAGGAGGCAGAAAGAACACTTAGAATCACGTAGGAATGAAGATGAAAAAATTAAACCACGGACAATGTCCCAACCTCCCAAGCTCTGAACATAGGGCTTATATCACAGGCACCATTTATTTTTCTTCTTCTCTTCTTTAAATTTTTTAAACTTTAAATTTTCCCAAAGTCTTAGAATCTTCAGTTCTGGGAACTGAGTCCATGCAAATAGAAGCACAATGACCTAAAGATATGGATCTAGGAACAAACACACAGAAGGATGTTTAGTACAGCAGTATTGTCAGGGCCAAAAAAGAAAATAAGATGAATGCCATTAACGGGAGAATGGTCAAATAAATTCAGGTTCGTTCCCACTATGAGAGAATGAGAGCTCCATTATTTGATTTTTTTTTTTTTTTTTTTTTGAGATGAAGTCTCACTCTGTCACCCAGGCTAGAGTACAGTGGCATTAGCTCACCACAACCTCCACTTCCTGGGTTCAAGCAATTTTCCTGCCTCAGCCTCCCAAGTAGCTGAGATTACAGGTGTGTGCCACCACACCCAGCTAAGTTTTTGTATTTTTGGTAGAGATGCGGATTTCATCATGTTGGTAGGGTGATCTCGAACTCCTGACCTCAAATGATCTGCCTGCCTCAGCCTTCCAAAGTTCTGAGATTACAGGCCTAACCCACTGCACCTGGCCCATTATTTGATTTGGGGGATTTCCATGACATATTGGTGGGTGAGAAAAGCAAGATGCAGTGATGCATATAAAATATATCTTAGCCAGGTGTGGTGGAGTGTGGCTATGGTCCCAGCTACTTGGGAGGCTGCGGTGGAGAATCACCTGAGCCCGGGAAGGCAGAGGCCACAGAGAGCTGTGATTGCACCACTGTACTCTAGCCTGGGCAACAGAGTGAAACCCTGTCTCAAAAATAAATAAAATACGTCTATCTGTTGGATGGGCATTTATGTTTGTGTATCTGTACATGACTATATGAGCACGGTATAGAGGAGAGAAGGACACAAACATTTGGTGAACCTCAATTTGGGAGGTGGGTGGTGGGGAAACTAGTGAGAGGAAGCAAGTTTGAAAAAAAGTTATGCACAAAAACAGCATATGTAATAAGATCTGAAATGTGCAAATGATATATACGTGGGTATGTATAAATGTCCAAAAAAAAAAATTGAAGTAGATTCAGAGTCTCTGACTTGTAGAGCCATCAAGCACAGAAAGCAAGAAAGGTTGAGAGAAATTTAGAAAGCAGAATTCCATCTTCATGAAAACAAAATTCCTAAGTCCGCACACATCTGTCACAGCCATGTGGGAGCCTCACGCCAGCCCAGGCCTGGGAGGGTGGAGGTGATGAAGACAGTCAGCTTTTTATGCATCTTTGCCTTGTCTCAATGCTTTAAAAACTGATTTTTTGCGGGGGAGGTATTCTGAAAAGTATCAAATTGTCAAAGTTTAAATGCTCCAATGTGCTTATTCTTTGGTGATTTTAAGTGAAGCATCAAGTAATTCTCTGTTGCCCAAACAGGTGGCCTTCTGAGCCACCGGCTGTCCTTGAATGTGGGGAAGGCCGGAGCCAGGCAGCTGGGACTGGCCTCGGGTAACCTGGGTGAGGGGCTGCAGGTGTCTCCTGTCAGAGGCTAGGTGAGGCCCAGATGTGGTTCTGGCGGAAATGCATTCCTCATGCAGACCCAGGGAAGGCAATACGCCCTTTGGGGTCTTTGATGGCTAGACAAGGCCAGCACAGTGCATTTCCTGGGGCTCAGTCCAAGGCGCCATCTTCTGAGGAGGCAGAATCAGAGTCCTGAGTGAGTGACTCAACTCAGCTTGTGGGGATTTTGGTTTCAGCCAGTCTGCTGGGGTTGTTGATTGTGAACACACTGAGCAGGTGAGAAAATGGGCAAAATAAGGGGCTGGCCTTCGTTTTAATACCCAGGAAGTTTGCATGTGAAAGAAAAAGAATGAGGCAAAATTCTCCAGACTCAACTCTGACAACTGAAATGGGCAGGAGAGAAGCTGAGGTCAGGCACTAGAAGTCCATGACTGCTGTCCCAGAGAGAAAGGAGCAAGGCTGTCACAGGGCTGAAATGGAGGCAGCTGGGGTCCTCAGCTGAGGTCAAGACTTGGAGCTCTGCCCAGGCACAAGTGTTCGTGGGGCAGCCCCTCCACCCAGCCCCACTGCCACTTTCCATGCCCTTCCTTGCCAAGTTTTCTCCAGGACACACACTGCCCTCTGATGTGCTGTGCATTTTCCTCTGTTGTGGTCTGCTTTTCCTTCACTAAAGTATAAGCTCCCTAAAGCCATGCTGTTTGTCTGTTTAGCTCTCTGCTTATTATTACTTAGAACAGGGCACAGGGAGCTGCTCAACATGATTTAATAAGTGAACAAATAAACAGTGAATAAGTAAAGATGACGGGGACCAGAAATCAAGTGTGGTACAGCCATGTAAACGGATACTATACAGTCATCAAAAGAGCTTTAGATGATGGTGTGAGCCCAAAACTGTCCACGTCAATTCTCTTTGGGGGTGGATTTATGAGAAGGGTGGGGCCTTTACCTTTTCCTAATATGTAGTTCTGAAATATTTCAACTTTGTGTTACTTTGTACAGTATTTCATTTATAAAGACAAAAAGAAAAGCTTGTTGTTTGATGTGGAAAAACTTTAGAGGATTTTTGTAATTACATGGAAAAATGACTTTGCAGCACCTTAGGGTAAAAAAAAAAGTTGGCCAGGTGCAGTGGCTCACACCTGCAATCCCAGTACTTTGGGAAGTCGAGGTGGGCAGATTACCTGAGGTCAGGAGTTCAAGATCAGTCTGGCCAACATGGTGAAACCCTGTATCTACTGAAAAAAATACAAAAATTAGCCGGGCATGGTGGTGGGCACCTGTAATCCCAGCTACTAGGGAGGCTGAGGCAGGACTTTCACTTGAACGCAGGGGCAGAGGTTGCATTGAGACGAGATTGCACCATTGCACTCTAGCCTGGGCAACAAGAGTGAAACTCCATCTAAAAAAAAAAAAAAATTGAGTTACAGCCGGGCATGGTGGCATATGCCTGTAATCCCAGCTATTCAGGAGGCAGAGACAGAAGAATCACTCAAACCTGGGAGGCTGATGGAGGTTGCAGTGAGCCAAGATCATGCCACTGTATTCTAGCCAGGATGACAGAGTGACACTATCTCAAAAAAATATAAAAATAATAATCAAGGTAGAAACCTTTAAAGAAATGTATAGAAAAATTATATATTTGTGTCCAAAAAGAAAGACTAGGAGGTAACTTTAACAGTGATTTTGCCTCAATTTTTTTCTTCTGTGTTATACTTTTTGTATTTTCCAAATCACCTAAATAAGCATATAGTCAGATCAAAGAAGTTTATTTAAAAGCAAAATTTTACTGTAGCTAAACTTATGAGAAATGTGATTATGCAGAAATGTAAGATAGGAGAAAAGAAGAGAGGTTTGTTTTTTTTTTTAATTGTCAGTTCAAAGGGTATCTTCAGTCCTCAGTGAAGGCATCAGTTATTGTTCAAAAGACAGAGTCATAAGGATTCTCAGGATAGGACAGACTCTGCAACCTCAATCAGAGGATCGTTGTCCTGATAAATAATCTTTCCTTCAAGACAGCTTCCTTGGGTCTAACTGAATTCCCTCCTGCTTCATCAAAATAAATGAATAAAACGTCCACCACTCTTCTCTGTGGAAATGACTCTGGCAAGCCACAGACCTATAAAAACCCTCCACAGACTTCAACATGGTTACTTATTATTAAGCCTTTCTCCATCCCTCCCCCTCCCCCACAAAGTGCAAACTACTTTTAGCTCCTTCAATCCTGCTTTGCAACACTTTCACTTGATTGTCACCTCCCTCTGGCCTCTTTCCAGGGTTTCTGAATCATTCCCCAAACAGGTGGCCTAAAACTAAAGTCAAGAATGGACTTGGCCAGTGTGGAAATGGCTGAGCAGTTCACTTCGTGGGGCTTGCAGAGCCTCCCTCCTGCGGATCTCTCCCTGTGTCACTGGCATAAAAGAAAACAGCCCTTCCCTATCCGTAGACCATTGTCAGGTTCCCCAGGTAGCCTAGCTAGCATTTGGGGACTACCATGGTGTCCCTCCTTAGCAAGGCCTCAAAACTCTGATTCCTTGGTCTTTTTGCCTTCTGTCTTCTCATCCATCCATCCAGGAGTTGAGGATGGTGGCATTCACATGATCCCTATCCCATTGTCACTGCATGTTGCAGTCGGCAGCCACGAATTCTGCCCCATCAAAACAGCTGCCACTGAGCCAAGTGGCATATCCAGAGGCACCACCCTGCTTCCCAGGAGGATCAGATACACTGGGCAACTGTGCTGGCACTGCTGCTCCCGGGACAGGGGGACTGACACTGGCATTCACAGAAACAGACAGCATTTCTGTGAATGGGCAGGTGGGTGCTATTCAAATGCAGAGCAGCTTGTTTCAGATTGGTGATGTTGAATTGCGTGCACGCACGTGCACACATTGCTTATTGTTGCTTTCAGAAATAAATTTAAAACACATTTATGGAGTTAACAGACTGTGAGTTGTTTTGGTTTTAATAAAATTAATCTGTAAAGATTCCAAGACCTTAACAAATGATCAATGAGACTTTCGTAATTGACTTAAAAACTTCATTAAGTACACAGTGTGGCTTGCTTATTAACTTCTACTTTGGATTCCAGTTGGGCTTTTGCTACAAGTGGATCCAGGAAGAGGAATTTCTGTAGTCTCCCAGATTTGAGCCTCATCCTGGGACCGAACCCCTTGCTTCTAGGCTTTGGGCCAGGATGTCAACCCTGGGGTCAGGCTTAGTTGTCTTCCATACCTGTGAAGAAATGAGGTTGAGTGTGAGGGGGTTTCAGGAGACTTGAGGAGTCTTCTAGGTGCCACCTGAAACTGCCTCATCTTTCCTAGAGCATCCGTCATAGACAGCAGGCCAACGTCCAAGTGAGGAACTCACACTCCCCATGCCTACCTCTTCTAGATGGGGGCAGGGCTGTCCTCAGCCTCCAGCCCACCCAGAAATCTCCCTATGATACTTTTTCATCCATCCATCCATTCACCTATGCAGTCTTCCATTTAATATTCATTGAGTGCCCACTGCATGCCATGCAGTTGACTGCATACTGAGAATTCCACTCCTTATTTCTCTCCACTTTTTGCTTTCTCAAGAAGGGGACAAAAGCAGGAGCCTAAGGATCTCCAGAGAGAGTGGGCTGCCAGCTGGTGACCAGTTACTGCCAGGAATTCCTGTCCTTTGAGAGAAATTTCTGGGAGACAATGTCGGCTTCTTAGAGGTCCTAGCAAAGGGGTCCCACTGCCTATCACTCTCCCCAACTTTGTTTTCTTTTTCATTTTCTTTATAGCATTTATTGTCCCTAACAGAGTCTACATTTATTTGACTTCTTATTTATTGTTTCTCTCACTCTATTAAAATGTAAGTTCCATACATGTAGAGATTTTGTTTTGTTCACTGAATTTCCCTAGTAACCTCATCGGTGCCTCTCACATGGTTGGCGCTTAATATATTTGTGATAAATGGATAGATAGATGAGAGGACAGATGGTTGAATGAATGAATAAATAGATGGATGCATGAATGGGTGGATGGATGGATGAATGGATGGATGGATGGATGGATGGATGATTAGATAGATAGATGAGAAGACAGAATCACTTCAATTGGATGGAAAAAACTCTCCAATTGGATGGATAGATGGATGGATGGATGAACAGAGAGAGGGTTGAATGGATGGATAAACAGATAGAATCATGGATGGAGAAATAAATAGACACATGGATAGATGCATAGATGGATGGATGAGAGAGCAGATGGATGAATGGATGGATGGATGGATGGATGGATGGAGGTATGAATGGAGGTATGGATGAATGCATGAATAGATGGATGAGAAGGCAGATGAATAAGTAGATGGATGCATGGATGGATAGATAGATGGAAGGAGAAATGGTGATGAATGAACATTTAAGTAGATGAATGGATGAATGAACAGATCCATGCATGGATAGATGGATAGATGGGTGGAGGAATGGTTGGATGGATAGATGGTTGGAAAGCAGACATGGTTCTTGCTCTTGTGGAGTTTTTAGCTTTGTGAAGGAGACTATAAGTTAAATTCATGAAAAACTATGTAAAATTGCAATTGTGTCAACTGCTGCAAAGGAGAAAAACTCAGTGTCACTGAAGACTTTAACAAAGGGCTTTGGCAAGATCTAGTTGAGGAGGGGAGCCTACCTCAAGGAAATAAAGACTGAGCTGAGATGGAGTAGTTAGAAGGAACCATTAGCAGATACAAACTGTCCCTCTACAGAGTTTCAAGTTGTGTAAGCCTTGCTCTCATGTCACTCTCTCTGCCTGTTTCTCCCCCAGGATGGCATCATGAGCAGGAACCCAGGTTTCTCAGGAGGCCTTGGGCTACTATCTGGTGATCATGACTCCCAGGGTAGAGAGACAGGAGCTTGTGCTTCCCACTTCCTCCCAATGACTGCCTGGATATGATGGACCATGGTGGGGTCACAACACGAACTTGAGACTATGATGTTAACCAGATGGTGCCAGGCAGGGTGGAAGTTCTCTAGGCTTGAACAGAGCTGGTGAGGGCCTTAAATTCAATGGAGTGTCTTGTTTTCTACTGGCTCCCTGACAGAAAGGACAAACGCTCAAAATGGAGTCAGCACTGCCGGGTTCAAATCCTCATTCTGTCATTCCCAGCTGTGTGATCTTGGCATAGTAATTTTACCTCCTTGGCCACCATTTTGTCATCAGTGGAATGAGAGTGATGATTGTGAAAGTGCTTTCTGACACAAGTCAGTAAGAACTGTGTACATATTTACTGTTTTTATTACTAGTGGTCAGTGATCCTCACAAAAAAAAGAGAGAGAGAAGAGAAAACTGCATAGGTTCATTCAGGCCAGTTCAAATGCATTTGTCCTTTAACTCAAAAAAATACAACTGTTGGGTATTTTCCATGTTCCAGTACTGTGCTGGGCATAGTAGGGCCACAAATATGAGCCTAGAATAAGTCCTGCCTTCAACTATATGACATTCTAGTAAGGGAATTTCATGGGAAGTCACAGGCAGAGCAGAGAGCTCTACTTGGGGACAGAAAGGGAGTTCAGAGGGAAGGTCAGAAGAAGGCAAAAATATTTCAGTAGAGGGAATCCCAGAGGGCTTCTTAGAGGAGGTGACATCAGAGCTAACCTTCCTTTAGTCCCTGAAGCAGCACCTTTCTCCAGCTTTCATGGTCTGTGTCCTCAGTGCTGTGTGACCTCATCCCCCAGGCTCTTCTCAAAACACAAACTAGGAGGAGTGATAACACAGCAAGCCAAACTGTGACAGATGCTGACTGTGTCCTGTGTCACATCCCCTCAAGCTGTCTCTGACTTCATCTTTGATGTCACTAAAAGCAATGGGTAGTGTTCTGTATGCTGGCAGGGTTCTATCTCAAGGGGCTGAAGAGTGTCTCTACCTTAGTTTCTGCTTTAGAACCTTCTCCAAAATCAGGAAATCCCATGGAGCCCACTTTTAAGTTCAGTGTGAGATTGGGAGAGAATGAGCCCTGCTGGGGCAACTCTTGAGCAATAGAGGAAGGAGCCTGTGGATAAATGCTCTGGTGTCCTGTCCTTTAGCCAGAATATTCTGGAAGGCAGTCTGCAGGCTTCCCCAAGTTTCGGGCAGTTGAGCCCCCGTGACCTACAGCAGCAAACTCAACAATGCACCTTCATGCTGGGCACTTTCTCCCTGTTTCACTTCCCCTCTCTCTTGCTCATCATCATGATCATACGATATTTTATACAGGATATTATAATGTGTGCACTGCTGTCAAACACAACACAACAAAACCTCAGTGACCGAGCACAACAAACATTCATTTTGAGCTCATATTCCATGTCGGTCTGGGTTGGGGGCAGGGGGGGATCTGTTGTGCGTTCTTCTTCTTTGGGGACCCAAGGCAACAGAGCCTCCACTGTGAAGCACATCTAGTCTGTGGCAGGGGAGGGAAACATGGCAGATTGAGCACCCCATCTTCAAGCTTCTGCGGGAAGTGACCCCCCTCACTTCGGGCCACATTCTACTGGCCAAAGCAAGTCACTTGTTCATGTCCAACTTCATCTAGGAGGAAAAGGCAGCCCAGCCTTGTGCTTAGAGGGAAGAAAATGGGACTGCAGAGGAACAGCCCCAAGGACCACCGTGTTATTCTGCCTGAAAAGCCAGCTCTGTGCCCCACCCTGGGCCAGAAGCCCTGGATGTTGGTGGGGATGAAGGAGGGAGCAAGATACATTGTGGAGGGAAGCAGAAGACTCCAGCTCCATCCTTGGGAGCTTCCAGAGCCTGGGTCTCTTTTTTTGCAGGCTGTTGTACCTGCTCCTTCCTCTGCCTGGACCTCTCTTTCTGCCCACTCATGGCCCCAATTCTCATTCATTCTGCACATCTCAGGACAAATCTTACATCCGCAGAGAGCTCTAGCTGCTCTCCCTGCCACAACTATTCAAACACAGATCTTCTCTTATTCTCTCTATTGTTTTTCATAGCAGCACTCATTACATTTATAACTGTATCAATGTTGTGGCTTCATTGGTAGGCACCGCACCAGGCTATAAACGCCATAAAAGCTGAGACCACACCTGCTTTTTCCTGGTTGTATCTCTACCACCTAACAGTCACACACATAGTAGATGCCAGTAAATATTTATCAAAAGAATTAACTCATCAGGGAGACAAGAAAAAAATGGGATGAGCAGAAAAGAATTAAAGATATATAGTACACCTTTTATGTTTATATACTTGATTCATGTTGCCCTTTGCTAAACCTGAAGGTAGATGTCAAAAGTCTATGGAAGTTGGAAAGCCTTCCATGTAAGTGGTTAATTATTATTCTTTCCCACAGTTCTATTTGCTCCCCCAACATCCCTGATACAAGGACCCAGGATTTTTATCTTCCTCTTAGAGATGAAGGGTCTCAGAGAGGGGCAAGTGACCTACTTAAGGTCACCTGGGTAGTATTCTGATTTGCAATCCTAAGCTTTTCCCTCCATACCACCCTTCCTAATTCAGGCTCCAACCAAATGCTTGGAATCTGGTTGTCTGAATAAACGTGGCCACGGTTAAGTTTGAGTCCGTAAGTAGAATGGCTAAGATATCGCACATCCATCAAGTTCATGATCTTGGTTGATTTTTCTCAGCAGACTCTTGCATTGCTTCCTCTAGAAAAACAGGGATAATTGGAAAGGGGCATGAGGTTCTCAGGAAGGAAAGGCCCTGAGTGCCTGTAGGGTTTTCTACCAGCAACCCAGCCACGTGGTTTTATTTTCACTGCTGAATTTGGTCAGTTTTACATCTTCGCCACACCTGAACAAAGGCAAGCGCACATTTGAAGGGTCTGTGTAAGGATACATCAGAAAAAGGTATAGTAACCCTGGCCTGGTGGTCAATTTACTGATTGCTCTTTAATTATACCTATTACCACTTGTTGAGCATCTACTGATTACCCTTCTATAGAACAACATGCACTAACTCACTGCCACCCTCTGAGATGCTCTGTTGGGGGCCAATTCAAACTGGCTTACGGGGAGGATAAAAGGGAAATTTGGGCTCATATCACTGAAAAGCATGGGGCAAGGCAAAAGCAGAGTCCCAAGGCCCTTGGGACTCTGCCTCTCCACCTCAGCTTTGTTTTTGCCTGTGACAAGAAGACCTTCTTCATGTAGTAGCCCCGACTGCTCCAGGCTTACGCCTTCTAGGATCAAGTGCAGAGGGTGCTTCTTTCTAGATTACTCTAGCTGGACCCCCAGGATTGGCTCTGTTGGGTTCTCATAAGGCCCATTAGTGTCCAGAGAGATAGGATGCTCTGATTGGCCAGGCCCGGGTCACATGTTCACCTGGAGGGGGCAGGAATCAGCTCCCAATAAACCCTATGACGGAGAGCCAAGGAGCAGCGCTTCTGCACGGAAAATCGGAGGCTATTACTGAAAGAATGGGAACTGGCTGTTTAACACGTCAAAGCAAATGCTCTGCATAAAGAACTCTTATTATCCATCCCTCTTTTTAAAACGAGAAAATTGAGATCCAGAGAGATTAAGCCACTTCACTTCCCCAAAAATCACACAGAATATTGAAGAGAAACTCCCTGCATCGCTTAACCATTGTTCTCCAAATAGTACCATAAGCTTGGGTCACCTGCTGCTGGGTCCTGAAAAATCACCATTACAGTCTGCAATCTCGGGAGAGTAGGTTCCAAGAGGGATGTTTATAACTAAGTAGGCTTGAAGTCTGAATAACTATACCATCTGCCTTGTGGGCTAAAGAAAGCTCCACACCCTTCTCCATGAATAGGGCTCAGAGTCATCCTCCCCCTCCCCTTTTATTCTTTTTACTTTTACTGGGTTGGAATTGAAACATTATTGTAGTAACTATTAGTTTCAAGGAAAAATTGTAATTGCTTCTAGATCCACTCACTGGTTTCAAGAGCGCTTTAACCTTTAACTTTCTCAGTACAAAGGGAGCTGGCTGTGCAGTGAATCTAACAAGACCATCATTTATCGCTGGCAGAGTTCATTAGTCAATTGTAACAGTTTAATTATTAGCATTTTAATGCATGAGCATTTAACTAGACAGAACAACAAGCTTTGGCATACATAACAAGACTTCTTAAATGGAGCTGAATTAACCCACACAATTGTTTGTATTGTGGTGTGTTATTAAAACGAGATGATTAAAATGCAAGAAACAAATGGATCCATATATTTAGCCAACAAACCAGCACTTGGCTTATTGGTATTGAGAGCATGCTTTCTTAAGCTTGAATTTTAATTTTAAAATCTTTGCTTTATTTTTTCTGCTCTAAATTACGGATTAAAATGCTATAAGGAAGATTCGTGTTGCTGCACTGATTGTAGGGGTGGCTTTAGTGAAGAAAAGTGTGGGAGACACAAAGGAGACAGCCCAAAAATGGTCCTGAGTGGCCCAGCTGGGAAGCACTGTTGCTGTGGGCTTCATGGTTCTCCATTCAGAAGAATCCCCCAGGAGATTTTTAAAAACTGTCCCATCCAGGCTGCACCTCCGGAGAATCTGACATTCTATTGGGCTAGAGTGGTTCCCTGATATGTTTTGTAATTTGTTTTTTTTTTTTTTTTTCCCCAAGCCATTCTTATTTGCAGTCAGGATTGAGAACCACTGCTCTACCTCCATGTGACAAGGTGGATCCCTTCATCAAACTTGTCAAATGAGACTAAGGCTTGCCAATGTTCATAGTAGCACTATTCATAAGAGCTAAGAAGGAGAAAGAAAACAAATATCCACCAACAGATGAATGGAAAAACAACATATGGCATAGCCATACCTTATTAAGTCTTAGAAAGGAATGAGATTTTGACGCATGCTACGACATGGATGAACCTTGAAGACATTGTGCTAAGTGAAAGAAGCCAACCACAGAAGGACAATGATTGCATGATCCATTTATATGAGGGACCTAGAATAGCTAAATTCATAGAGACAGAAAGTATATTCGAGGTTATCAGGTTGTGGGAAAGGGGGATGTGGAGTTATTACTTAATGAATACTGTTTGAGATGATGAAAAAGTTCTGGAAATAAGTAGTGGTGGTCTCATGACACCGTGAATGTACTTAATGCTACTGAATTGCACACTTAAAAATGGCAAAAATTGTAAATTTTATGTTATATGTACCTTATCACAATAAAAATATAAAGGAAAAAAGAATAAGTCTTGCTATATTAACATCATAGAATCAGTGTGTATATCAAGTGAGATTGTGGATAGAAGCCCTTTGCAAGCTTAACATGATGTACATATTTAAGGTGGTAGTAATATTCTTTAATTATTTGTTTTAATCACATTGTTTTAATAATAGGCTACAATATAAACAGCCAAGAAGGTTCATTAATAATGTCAAACTTAAACAAGTATAATTAACGTCACTCAGCAAAGTCCTTCACATATTTTCTCTCTGGGGTAATCTTGGCCTGATTTTTCTATCTAAACAGTTTCTTCTTTGATGGGGAGGCAGAAACTTTTAGGGAGCATGAGGAAAGATGGAAAGTCTTATGTTTTTATCTGATTCTAAAGATCATAGTGTGGTCCTACATGATGTCAATGACACCCACATCCTAGCCTTGGAGATTTGGGTAGAAAAGAAAGTTTCCAAGTCCTGGAATGGCCTTTCCTATGAGAGACACTGAAATGGCAAAGCACAACAAATACTACTCATAACAGCCAGCATTAATGGAACCTTTCCTAAATGCCAGGATTCTAATGGGAATTTGGTTGGGGGAAGTTAGAAGGCTAGAGAAGAGGCCTGCCCTTTTGCCCTCTTTCCATGGTGAGGCAAAAACAAACTCAGCATCCCAAAGATTATGCTACTAGTTCCTTCTTTCTGATTCAAGCAAGATCATCCAATCACAGAGAGTCTGCATGTTGGTGGGGATTTGAGCCTTATTGCTAGACTATTAAGTCTTGTCACGTGAGCCTCAATGAACAGAGTGAGCCCCCTTGTTCCTTTCCGGTTATCCTCCAGGAAGTGAGGCCTTGGTGGGCAGGAGAAGGGGAGCCCATTCTGCCATGCTTTACTTACTTTGATTCATCTAAATGGTACCTTGTTGCTTTCTTTCCTAAAGAGTTTTAATGCAGCTTGCAAAATTGGATGCACTACAATGGAAAATAATCTGACTAAATAAGAAAATGAGGTGAACTATAAAACAAGAAGAAAGGCAAATACCTCAACAACATGCCTTGTGGAGTAAAGAAAGGGACTGGGGTGGGGGGTAGGAGGATTTGCAAACAGGGGGGCTTAGTCTCCTCTGCCCTCATTATTCCATATAGAGGAGTGTCAGGGCCTGAGAAAGGCTGCTGAGCACACGTGGGTCTGTGTTCCAGGGGAGGGGACCCTTCCTGTCTCTGCCTATGGAAGCATGGGCAAGATCCTATAGAGCTTGGGAACACACAGACTACGTACACGGCTGAGCTCAGACTTCAACTGTTTGTAGCAATTGCTGGGAAATGCCACCACCCAGCACTTGGAAGCTGTGGGTACCTGTGGGGGAATTGTAGCCCCTTCTAATGGAGGAGTGGCTGTGACCAGTTAAGTTGCTAAAACTCCACCCACTGGAGGTGGGAAATTTGGGGGCACACAATCTTTGCCAGACATCTGAGATGAACACCCAGAGTGATTTTTAGACAACGTTTTGTGCCCTTCCACTTAAAGAGAAAGTAAGATTGAGCCAGAAATGAAGCAAAACATACGATGGATGCTACAGAAGCCCCATAATTGTAAGAGTGGGTCTCAGATTTGGATCTTCATCTTCCAACAACTAACGCAGACAGAGAAATATGATGATACAGGGAATTGCAGCATCCTTGAAGTAAAAATCAGCCTGAGTAAGGCTCAGTTCTTCCTGATCTCCAAACAAGAATAATTTCCCCCGTGAATCCTCGTAGAAAGTCCTAGGTGCGACATAAAGAACACCATCCTCAACCAACTGCTGTAATGAAATGCATGTGGTTTTTGTAATGATGCTGTTCAAGGATATGTATGGATCTGCCTTCATGTGGAAGTAGGTTTTCGAGCTGTGCTCTCCAGTGCAGTAGCCATCATCCCCTGTTGTTATTTAATTTAAATTAAACTAAAAATGTATCTCTCAGACACACTGGCCGCATTTTGAGGTGCAATAGCCATGTGTGGCTCCTGGCTACTATATTGAACAGTGCAGAGACATACAAAACTTTCACTAGAAAGTTCCATTTGACAGCATTATTTCAGGGTGGCCAGGGTCTCAATGATAAATTGCACACCCATCAGGTAGTTTGCTCTAGGTGTGATGTCCCTCGGCATAATTTTTGACAATAAGTAGCCATCAGCTTGAGCTTTTATTCCCTGCCAGGTACTCACTATTCCAGATTGCCAGTTAGGTCCACAGATAGGGGCTTTAACCATCAGATGAGTAGAGAGAAGACCCACCAGTATCCTCCCATGATACCTTGGAGGGGACCTGACTAGAGCACATTCCTAAAGGGGAGTCATCTTATATCTGTTTAGAGGTAAGTCTGGGAGAGCTGACAATGGGGACAGAGTATCCTTAGAATGTGACTTTGGTTCCAGGCTGATAGGAAATACAGGTTCAACAAGCCCACCATCTAACATGGCTACTAATTTTGGCCAAGTATCATAAAGCATGTGGAAACCAAACCCACCTCGATCATACCTGTATCTCAGTAATGTCCCTATGTCCTGTATACATTTGAGCAATCAACTTCCTGAGAGCATTCCAAAGCAAATGAGTTGCAAAATGAACCAATAGGTAGACTTAGGATATAGGCATCACATACAGTGACTTTTAATTTTCTTTTTTCTCATTTGCTGATTTTTTTCAGCAATGTTTGCCTAAGCAATAGAAGTGGAAAGGATTGTTTTTTTCTGCTAATCCTAACAACACTGATGGGCTGTCCTTCAGTATTGACTGAGCCATGGGACCAAAATGTATTCTTCAGGATGACACTGGCCCAGTAGTTATTGAAGTCTGGGTCTAGGAATTTAATAGTGAGTTTCCTACCTATGACTACTGAGAGTTAACATTTTTCATAACTGGCATTTGCAAAGAATAAGATCCACATTGACATCCTTCTAAAATTCCATCATCTCTCAATGAGTTGCAGTAATGAAGAAGAGGTCAGTGCAAATATTCCCTCTACTGCCAACTCTGGAATGTGTCTTCATCCTATTGCTCGAGGACATGTGAGTCCTTCTCCCTGAGAATGCTGGCAATTCCCCATAGAAACAGGAAGATCTAGCTAAAGAAACTGGAAAACCTTCTCTGGCCTAAAAGGGGCTAAAAGAAACAGAAAAGGCAATAATGCCTCAATGCTAAAGCTAATTTTTCTTCTATTTAAATTCTAAACACAATTTAGGACCATCTGTCTGGAAAACAGTGGAAGAAAACCATCCACAATCCCAGCATCCTCATATAATATTTTTGTGTATGGTCTTTCACACAATATTTGAAAACATGATTTTCAGCCCCAAAACCATCCCTGCTTCATAGAAAGTATCCAGGTCCAAAGTGTACTGTCCTGTCAAGGTTTGGCTGAATCACAGAAACTATTTTCTAAAAGAAATATATTTTGCATGGTTTTGAGGGTCTCAGGCCAGCCCACAGCATTCTACTTAACCCACCATGTGGTCCAGCTATGTGACTAACTCAATCACAAGCCCACCTCCCAGCTGCTCACTCTGCATTTTGCACATTCTGCACACATCGGAATCTCCTCCTACAAACGTAGTTCCCAGGGAAGTCATCTGTCCCCTCACAGCAAACTGGACTATGCTGAAGGAAGACACCTGTCAAGATGTCAGGGTCCCAGGTTCCCCATCTGGTTGGAGAGGAGCTGGAGTTCTGGCCACTGTTATACAAGGTACCACTGACCATCCTCAGAGGTTTTTGACAAATGATAATGGGAGAAGATTTCAAATTGTACTCACAGTCTCAGACAGCTAATACTTTCATTGTCAAGAGAGCAACCTAGCCTATGAATTGCCTGCCTTAGGGTACATATATGTGACACACACATTTACATTAAAGTATAGGAAGGGTCAAACACCCTATTGTAGCTCAGGAAATCACACCAGCTATTGAATTCTTTTGTACATGTGAGTTTCTTTATTTCATACCACATCCCCATCCCTGCTCCACACTTGCCATTCATTTTTGGATTTCTGCTTAAAGCATCGCCTCCTTGGGGAGTGTTTCCAGAACACTCCATGTACCATCCATCTAGACTAGATGAAAACTCTGTTGTAAGATCCTCCTCTTTTCCTTCACAGAATTCACCATACCTGAAATCACTTGTTCAATGTCAGTCTTCCTTTTAGAGAGTAAGAATCATGGCAACAGAGATGGTTTCTAGAAATTCCATACTCTATCTTCAGCATCTAGAAATACGAATGGCAAATAGTATGCACTCGGTAAAGATATACTGAATAAAAGTCCATCTTAGCTTCCATTTCTGAGGATCTCAGCAAGGATGTGCAGATGGAGAAAAGAAGCTAGAGGAGAAAAATTTCTGATGTGCAAAAAGAGAGGACCACTCTGATGAATCAGAGAATATGCTTTCTGAAAACACTGGTACTACAAGAAGCAGAAGAAGTTTTTAGGAATTGTCTAATTTGTATCCTCAATACCATATCAAGAGCAAACAATAATTTAAAAAGAACATCTGCAATAAAATAAATAAATGGGAAAAAAAATAAAATAAAATAAATTTTTTAAGAAAAAAAAATCACAGATAGTTCAAATGCCTATGATAATTATATATTTTGTCAATGCAGCATTTGTAATGGGACAAAAAAAATCTTTGATAACAAAATCTGAAAATCATTAAATATTAAGATAATCAAATCATTAAATATTAAGATAATTAGATTATTAAATATTAAAATAATTATTTGGAAAAAAGAGCATCTGAGATTGGGAAATTTTATAAAATGATGAGCACAATTACTGAATTGAAAGCAAGAAATAGCAGCTTGAATACTTGTAAAATTTTAAATCAATAACATATAAAATAAGGTCAAGAAATTTTCCCAGAGCAAGGAGACAAATATTTTAAAATAATTTTTAGTGATTTAATAAACTCAAATTATTATTTATTAAGAATGCCAATGGAGATAGGAAAAAAGATGGAAAAAACAACAATCTAACAAGTAATAGAAGAAAACTTTATAAAATGTCCTTAGATCCAAAGGGTCTCAAGAAGATCAGGCAATATTAACAAAAATAGCCAATATGCAGTAATATTCTGGTAGTTATATTTTACTTTTAGATAAGAGAAAAATCCTATAATTCTAGCCAAGAAAGACAATGTGTCTGGCCTCAAGATTCTCAGAAATATATAGTACAACATAATATAGCACTGACCATTGAGGCTATATTTTTCTTCTTTGAAAAAAAAGTCAGAAATAATATATAAAACTGAAAGCACACAAATAATAAGTGTACAGTTCAATGAATTTTTGAAAACATCCATGTAATTAGCACCAAGTTAAGAAACAGAACATGACCATCAGCCTGGACACTTCTCATGCCCCTACAGTAGGATAGTTTAGCCTATTTTTTTAGCTTTGTATAGATGCAATCATACTGTGTATAGTTTCTTGTGTCTGGCTTTTTTTTTTTTTTAACATTGTGTTATTGCATTTAGTTGTGATTTGCTCTTTCTCATTGCCATACAGTATTCCACTGTATGACTAAACTACAGTTATCCATTCTACTTGTGGACATTCAATCAATGAATACTGGCTTCAAGTGGTACTATGATGGCCATATATATATATATATATATATATATGTCTTTAGTAAACATGTATATGCATTTTTGCTAGGTATATACCTAAACTTTAAATTGCTGCATCATGGGTAGACACATGTTTAAATTTAATAGATACTGCCAAACAGTTTTCTAAAGTTATTGAACCAATTTATAGTCCTGTCAGCAATATATGAAAGCTCCAGTTGCTCCAATACTTTCCTCCAGTACTTGTTATGTCTGTCCTGAATTTCAGTCATTCTGGGAATTATGTAGTTATATCACATTGTGGTTTTAATTTGTATTTCCCTGTTGGCTAATGAAATTTAGAATGATTTTATATGTCTATTGGCCATCGAATATCCTCCTTTTGATGTGTCTGTTCAAGTCTTTTACCCTAAATGCTCCTTGGTCTAAATTACTATGGTTTTATAAGTCTAGATTTCTGATAATGTAAGTCAATTATTTCTAGATTTCCTCTTCAAGATTGCCTTGACTTTTCTTGGCCTGTGAATTTCCATATAAGTTTTAGAATCAGCTTGTTGACCCCACAGAAAAAGGCTTGCTAGAATTTGTTTGGGATGGCATTTAATCTATGAATGAATTTTGGGAGAATTGACATGTTTACACTATGTCATAGCTATCTATGAACATAGTATATCTTTCCATTTATTTATGCCTTCTTTAATTTCTTTCAATAATGTGTTGCAGTTCTCACAGTAGAGATTTCACACACTTTTGGTTAGATTCATTCCAATGAATATTATGTTTCTATATTATAGAAATATTATATAATTTGTAATTATATTTATATAACATATAACTATACAATTTATAATTATATTAATATATAACTATATAATTTATATTTATATAATATATAACTATATAATTTATAATTATATTTAAGTAATATATAAGTACATAATTTATAGTTATCTCTATATAATATTTATATAATTATAAATTTATAGTATATATTATGTTGTTTGTGTGTGGTAGTAGCATAAGGATAGACACACAGACCAATGGAAGTTCTAGTCTATTCTATTCTGGAGCGTTAGAAATATTTTATATCTTAACCTGTTTACAGATATATACAATCTTTGTTGTCTACACAGATATATACAATTGTCAAAACGAATTGATCTGTACTCTTAATTAGTTTACTTTATTTGTTTTCTGTATGTTTGTTTTATCATAGCAAGCCAGTATGAAAAAGAAAACATTTGATTTATATGGACAGACAATTCAAAATAGAAGAAATACACTACTAATAAAAATAGAAATTACAATAAGGTAAATTTTTTTGTCAAAATAACAAAGTTTTCCTTAATAATATAATCAGTATAATAACTGTAGGGTAGAAGGACACAAGTACTTTTATGTATTAGTGGAAGTGTAAACTGGTAAACCTTACAAGAGGGCAAGTTAGCTAAAGACTTAAAAATATGTGTGTACATTCATTAGAAATTTTACTCCCAGGAATTTATTTTAAAGAAACCTTCATTCATTCATTCATTCATTCATTTATTGAGACAGAATCTCATTCTGTCACACAGGCTGGAGTACAGTGGCTCAAACTCAGCTTACTGCAACATTTGTCTCCCAGGTTCAAGCAATTCTTGTGCCTCGGCCTCCTGAGTAGCTGGGACTATAGGCACATGCCACCATGTCCAGATAATTTTTGTATTTTTAATAGAGACGGGGTTTCACCATGTTGGCCAGGCCAGTCTCAAACTCCCGACCTCAAGCTATCCACCTACCTCAGCCTCCCAAGTGTTGGGATTACACGCATGAGCCACTGCACCCAGTCAAGAGTCCACCGTTGATATAGCACAAATTTCACTATTAGAATGTTCACTGAAAAATTGTCTATGATAATAAAATACTGAAATCTACTACTAAAAGGGAATTAATAAGACAAACTATGATATATAACAATGAAATGTCAATCATTTAAAATTATGGCATAAAAATTAATAATATAGGGAAGTATTCTTAATATAATATTTGGCAAAAGAAAATAGCTACAATATTGATCAGTCAATGCAATCCCAGTTTAAGCTTTTTAATTTATGTATATACTAATTGAGAAAAAATTGGAAGGATACAAAACTAAATGTCAGCAATGACTATCTTCGTGTAATGATATCAATGATGATATTTCCATTTCTTCTTTTCGGGCCTTCACTTTTTCTACGTGTTTAACAATGAACATGTATCACTTTTATACTAACAAAAATCATATTTTAAGAAATTAGAATAGTACATACAACCACATTCTAATACATTTGAAAATCTCAATGAATAAAACTGTCTCCTTGGAAGAAAAAATAAATTGACTAAAGAAAAATATATATTTATATACATAGAAAAGCACACCAATCCTGAAATTGTGGATGACTTCTACTTTCTTTTTTAATATCCATCTTCAGTTTTCAGGAATTCTCCAGTAAATATATATTCATTTTATAATTGGAAAAAAGCCAGGAAAACACAAAGGAACAGTAGGAGAAACAACCATAGTTTTTGGTGCTGCTGGAATATTGCACCTTGTGTAATCTTAGAGACACCTTGCAAACAACCCTGGACACAAATACAGAATCACAATTTTTACCCAGACAAGCTCAGCTCTGGTGCCTACACACTCTACCAGCAGCTTCCACTTAAATTTGCTCAGGTAAACTTCACAACAGCCCATGGATGTTGGCATTACTCTTTTTATTTTTACAGATAAAGAGAAACTGCCCAGAGAGGATGACTTACTTATAGAGACCCAGGAAATGTAGAGGAGGAAGGGATTTGAACCCAGGTCAGCCCACTTTCAAAGCCAATGCCTTTTTTTTTTTGTTTTTAACTACAAGAGTATTTTCTAATCATATTACAACCAAGACCACCAAAAAGTTGTTATAAACACAAGCTATGATGCAGAGGGCCTCCTTCAAGATAAACACAATCTGTTTGGAATGCACCAACTTTATTGAAAAATATTACTGAAATCAAAGCCTTTTGCACTACTTTATTCATTATTTTTATGGTACTCCAGGATTTTTGTGGGATTTGTTTTTCATTTCACTTCTGTAAGGCTGCCAATGCTTTAAAGCAATATTTCAATTGGGGGTAAAAAAAGTAGTTTTCCTAGCAAAAATTCAACAATGTTTTCCATCCTTCTTTCATACGGTTTTGGGAAATTCTCCCCTCCTGCTTTCCCTGTTTCTCCTCCCAACTCCCATAAAGTACAAATTTAATACTCATGCTACTTTTAAAATGTCCCCTAATGTTCAAAAGAAATTAAATTTGCAGTTGCAGAATTTTGAAATGTTACTTTTATCACCAGCAGTTTCACCTGGGAAGTCACAAATCATCCAGAAACAAAGGCAATGAAAACACAAGCTCTGTAGTCCTCAAGCAGTTGTGGACTGTCGCCTTATAAGATGATGAAGGATTACATGGAGGTGTGCTCAGGAGCTGGAGAAGCCCGATCCCTGAAATAAAAACAAACTGTATAGCTCTTTCATTCACTGGACAGACACTTGTGTTTTCAACAGGTACCAGTACTGCTTGCTCTTGAGAAGCTGACAATCCAGGTTTGGTTTAGAACAGGTAAATTTTAGAAAGTGAATTTAATTCTGCAGATGTTGAGCAGTCCTACAATGCTTTGGTTTCAGTCTTCTCTCTGGAATTCTAGGGATGCCTCAGATGTGTCTTGGGGGGCTATGGAAAGGAGGAGAGGAAGAGGAGAGGATTCTAGGCCAACAACCCCACCCCTCACTTAAACCATAGTTGTTTAAAAGGGCTTGTTTCATGCACTTAGATTCCCCAACAGGTTTATTTTGGATGAAGGACAATGTTGTTTAAAATAAAAGTCTGGGGGTCAGGGGGAGGGATCCCTGCTTCAATGCATGAGACAGAGCTGAATGAAAACAGGTTTCATGCTCATCAGACACTGAAAGAGTGAAAGCATTGAAAAATCTGCAAGCGTCCCAAACTACACAACTTGGTCTAAATACCTCCTTTAAAAGCTGAGAAATTGCAGACCAGACCAAGCGAGGACATGCCCAGGGTCACAGAGATGTACCTGGCAGGTGCCACCGAGAAACTTCAGAAATTTCAGTATTGGTGGTCCATCCAGAAAACTCAGACACAGGATTTTTTGTAAGAAAATCACATTCCCAAAATGCACTTATTCACCTATATCCTGGTTCTTTTCAAAACAGAGATAAATAGGAGAGCTACTAAGATCCACCGTGACTGAAGCCTGAGAGCTAATATTATTATTAAATGTTGAAATTAAGTTTTGAGCTTCCTGCCACTCGAGTAGAAAGAGAAACCCACTATGTCCTATTGCTTTCATTGATGAGGAAACTTCCATTCTTTTTCAAAGAGATGACTTCACAAAGAAATGTCCTTACGTAACCTCACAGAGGAGAATTGAGACCTTTTTCTGAAGAAAGACGCTGATAAGTCCAAAGATACTAACTTTCTCATCTAGACTGACCCATTCAGCTAGTTTGCACGTTAATGTGTGAACTCACCCACTGGCCACTTCCACTGACATTATAAATGAAATCTTTAGTTTTGTAAATTGAGAAATTGAAAATTCTTGTTTTTCCTCTTCTCATTTTTCAGTTACATCTGTTACTCCAAACTTTGCATTCCATGTAACTTGTATTTGCATAAAAGGAATATAAACTCCATAGACAGAAGAAAAGAGCAGAGAAAGAATCAAAATATTTATTGTTTGGGAGATATCCACTATTCCATATGCCATTTCATGATATTAACTCTATTGAGTCTATGCCCACTCTGGTTCACTCACTTCCTGTACTCAGTGAACTCCATGCTATATCTCAGTGAATCCCTACCACAACCCTTTACAGTGGCTTTTCCTTGAAGAGAAGGAAAAGCTGAGAACTCACCAGGCTCAGAAGTTTGGTCTGTTTACACAGATAGATGTTCATTCAAACACCTGCTGTGGGCCACCTGCTGTGAGCCATGCACTGTTCAAGGTATTCCAGGTCCCTGAATAACATTCATTGAGCCCCTGCCTTCTGTCTCATGACCCAGAAAGCCAGTAGTCAACAAACAAGAAAGAACAACAAACACAAACAAGCAAGAGAATCACAGATGGTATCACATGTTGGGAAGGAATCAAACTACAGAAAGAGATGGGAAAGCAACTGAAGGTGGGAAGAGAAGCCATGGTACATTATGTGGGTGATCAGAAGGGTCTATCAGAAGAGGTGATAATTAAGCTGAAACCAGAAAGATGAGAATGAAGAACCAGGGACCTGAGGGCCAGGTGGGACTAGCAGAGCCTGGGTCTGCACCGTGCAGTTGGGGAGGCCTGGGAAGCCTCCTATCTACTCCCTCTGACAGCCCTATGAGGTTGGCATTATCCTTTACTACACAGACACGCACATGGGGGCTTAGAGTGGTTAAGTGACTTGATCAAGAACACACAGCCAAGAACAGTGAAGCAAGATTTGAATCTAGGAACATTTGGCCCCAAACCTGTGCTCTTAGCATTGACCTTATTTGATTTGACCCTTGATTGACTAACCAGCTACCAGCACTGACAATACAATTTACACTGGGTCAGTTAGTTAATTAGTTCGTTGTCTATACATTATTACTCATACCTGGCCTCATTCCAAAAATGGTTTGAACCCCACCCCCCAAGATTCTCTGTACTTACTGGAGTCTCCTTCAAACAGAGTCCCCTCCTCCAACTAGATAGGTGGTACAAGAAACCCAATGATGATGTCTTCTCAAGATACAAGTTCATACTCCTTAAGAAGAATCTTGCAGATAAGGGTGCCTAACCACACAGCCCATTTCTCATCCTGGGAGTACTTGGGAACCTTCCGATCCTCTGTTGGGAGCTGGGGGCCTCACCAGAGCAGGAGTTTTACAATGCCTTGTTGCTGTCATGAATCTTGCAAAGGTCCTATGGACACCTAGGAACTCAAGCTTTCATTTACCGAGACAAAAACTAGGCAAACAAAAACAATTCTACCTCCTGTGATGCATCCAACGTCCCCTGGGGAGTCAGAAGAACATGTGTCCCACTGCTCCATCCATCTCCATGGCCATCATTCTGAACATGGTGTCATCATGGAAGCATCCTTTCACCTACTCCCCAATCCTGACATAAGCTGCACTGCTGTGAAAGCAGTCTAGAGTGGCAGGAAAATATTCTAACCCTGTGGCTCATTTCCAAGCCTACCGGTTGATGAAACCCACTGCAATGACCTCCATGAAGCACAGGAAAGTGGGTCACTCCCTAAATTTCCAAGTCTGCCAAAAATAGGCATGTTATATCATTGCCACACAACCTGATTCTTACTCAAACAAGTGTAAGTAAGGGGGGTTTTCTGAATAATTTGTCAGCCAAAAAAAGAGGCTGCCATTCAGGGAGCTCTTATTATCTCAGAATAACAGGCAGCATGTGTCTAGCCTTACCTTGTGCTGAGAATTATTCCTGACCCTTTACCATATTAACTCATTAATTCTCACAATTCCATAAGGTAGGTATAACTGTCATCATTATTTTACAGATAAGAAAATCAAGGCACAGAGTTTGTATCACTTATCTGAAGTCATCCAGCTAGAAAGGAATAAGGACTGGATTCAGGCTCCTAATGGCTACCTCTGCAGAATCTCATACAAAGCCATATGAGAAGGTTCTTAGCCTATTACTTGTGCAAAAATCAGAAGCTCATATCCAGTTGTCATCATGGACAAAAAAAAGGGGGGTGGAAATGGAAATGGTGGAGATAGCATTAGCAGGTTATTTTCAGCTTCACTTTCATGCATGCCAAAAGCACACACTGCAAAAATATGCATTTCAGACAGTGAGGAGCTGGACATGGGTAGAAGAGGTTAGAGCTAATACTAAGTCTGCAGCTGTGGAACCTGAACTAGCGGCTCCCCATCCCATGGCTCTGATTGCCCCATGGTTTGCGGGGTTACAGGTCTGTTCCCCATCCCTTGAGACACGTTACAGCGTGGTCCACTAGGCAACTTTCTAAGTGGCAGCAATGCGTCCACAGGCATTGACAGGGCTTCTGCCCCCCAGGTTCCTAACCACTTAACTCTCAAAAGAAACGCCTCTCCAGGCAGCCATCTTTATTTTGGACAGTGACATGAAAATTCCAGTTCCTTAAGCAAGGAGCTCTGTGCTGAAGACAAGGTTTGCCTCTGTCTAGAAAGGTAATTTCAAGGTAAAAACTGAATATACCTAGAGTGACAAAGTATTTTGTCACCCATTAATTCTGAGAGAGAAAGAGGGGGAGAAAGAAGCAAAGACAAACATGCAAGCTCCCTCCTTAATCTTCACCCTGGCCCAGGCAGACAGGAAGCAAAGGAAAGCCTAGCACTTCCCTCCCTTTCTCTCTGTTCCCTGCCTTTAATTGTGGGTGGAAATAAGCTACAAATGTTCCCCAGGAAATGCACATGTGGACAAGCTTGTATGTCAGCTTAGAGTATGCACGGGGTGCTCACATTCAGAAGGTACCTGGGAGATGACCCAGTTCAGTACTATCCAACAGAAATAGAATGTGAGCCACATGCATCATTTTACATTTTGCAGTAGCTACAGCAAAAACAAGAAAAACATCAGTTTAATATATCCAAAATATCATTTCAGCATGTCATCACTATAAAAATTATTGGATTATTTTACATTCTATTTGTTATATTGTGTATTTCACACTCACAGAATTTATCCTTTTGGATTCAATTCACTTCCTTTCAAATGCTCAATGTCACCTGTAGTGAGTGGCCACCGCATGGGACAACAGAGGTCTAACACATCATACCCTCTGATGGATGATCACAGATCTTCTTCAACATCCCTTAAGGAATCATCTAGTTCCTTGCTACTCAAATATGGCTGGCCAATTGATAGCAATGGCATCACCTGGCTTGTTAGAAATGTAGAATCTCAGGCCCCACCCAGAACCTATTTAAATTAGAATCTACTGATGCTATCCTTAGGTGATTCATCTGCTCCTGTACGTGAAACTCTGAAAACCCTGTTATCTCCTCTTAAGCACTTCCTGTGGCAGGGAACTCACCATCCTATCTTTAAATGCCCATGCCACCTTTAAATGGGTCTAGTTATTAGAAAGGCATTTATCCTCCCTTTATTGAGTGCTCCCTATGAGCCTAGCACTGTGCTAAGCACGTCCCATGAATCATCTCATTTAAGCCCAGTATAGTCCTATAAGGAGAAGGGAGGCCCCATAAGACTGGATAACTGGTCCCAGATCATGTGGCTGGCCAGAATTCTGTCCCTGTGCCTGTTTCCTGAACCACCCACTGTACCAGGGTCTCCCTGTCCCTTCTGCTAGATGTCACACAGAGCCCAGGAGTCTTTTCCAGCTTTGGAGAAGACTGTTGTTGGTGCTTAGGAGAGATGGTCTTCAGTACCAGACTTTATATTTTTGAGGGTTTCATTTCTTGCTGATTTCATCCTTTCATTTATTTTCATTCCATATTTCATTTCTTGCTTAAATACACTCTGTTGGTACCTGTCCACTCAGCATTTACTTTCCTCATCAAGGTTTAGAACAAGTTTGGAAATGGGCAGCTAAGCAAATAGGCAGAAATGAGTAAAAGTCATATAATGCCATTAGGCCACTCAAAGGTTCTGGTTTCCAATTAAATAAGGTACATGGCTGGAAAAATCAGGTAAGCTACACACAGGGAGGGACCCCAATTATATCACCACCTATGTTGAGAAAGATACTGAACGTGCCAGAGAATGTCATGAGACAGCAAGCCGAGGAACATGATGAACGTACAGTCAGGTGGAAAATGAAACTAAAGAGAGGAAAGCAAGCTCTTAAGGAGTTTTCCTCCTTCACCATTGCGTATCAAGTGAAACTCCCAGAAAACAAGAATGTCACTTTCCATCTGTGTTTCCCCTCACAGGAGGAAATCGCTGACTGCCCAGTAGAGGGTTGAGGGTCTCTGGGGAACGTGTACTGTTGTTTCGGAAGCGAATTATTTCTCAATTCGAAAGAAAACTCTTCTTGTGTTGAATAATAACGGAAATCACTGGAATCTTATGATAAAATTTTGGTAAATAATTTTACGATTTTTAAATGACTGCCATATTCTTCAGTTTTCCAGGAAATCAAGGATCACTGTTCATTTGAGGGAGAGGGGAAGTGAGAGAAGAGAGGAAAGGAGTTAATGAGGAAAGGATGAATTAGAAACAAAGAAAAATAGGCAGCACCAAGCAGAAGCCCTACACAGCCAATCCCTGTAATATACTTTTCTGCCCACTTGTTCCCACGTGATGTGACATGCCTGCATTGATTTTTTCTGAATTAGAAAATATATTCAGGATGGCCAAACTTAACATAGAGAGTACATGGCACACACAACATTCACCTGCGCAGTTACAGGGGATCCCAAAGAAACAGTCGCCCTCTTGAGCAGCTGATTATAAGGAGAGACCTTCAATATCAGTTGATAAAGAAATGCCAAACATATTGAGATGCCGCAGAGAAAATAAGCAGTAGTTTCAAATACGAGTCCTGGTTTAAAGTCCTAACAGCAGATCTTCTGTGCTGCAGCCCATTATTTACCATCCTGATATTTCTGACATAGGCATTTCTACGTGGGCAAAGGCACTGGTTAATGTGAAAATAGTAAATTATTCTCCAGCGCAATCCTAGGCACTCCAGCTACTTACGAAATAAGAACCAAACGCCTTCACTGGCACCTTCCCAAGCAGCGCAGACTCCACACCTGTTGTGTTCCTTTCATTCATCAAACACTGAGTTCACGTCAGGCCAGGATCTCCAGAATTCATGAGATTCCAGTCAGCAGGAAACCATAGTTGGTGATATGCTTTGGATCTGTGTCCTCACCTAAATCTCACATTGAATTGTAATTGCCACGGACGGACTCAGGGCCTGTTAGGAGGTGACTGGATCATGGTGACGGTTTCTCATGAATGATTTAGCACCATCCCTTTAGTGTTGTCCTTGCAATAAGGAGTAAATTCTTGCAAGATCTGTTGGCTTAAAAGTTCTGGCTCGCCCTTTGCCTTCCACCATGATTTTAAGTTTTCTGAGGCCTCTCCAGAAGCTGAGCAGGTGCCAGCACCATGCTTCCTGTACAGCCAGCAGAGCGGTGAATCAATTAAACCTCTTTTCTTTATAAATTACCCAGTCTCAGGTATTTCTCTATAGCAATGCAAGAACAAACTAATACAGTTGGTTAACCCACAAGAAATTCTCTAGGGCAGGACCAACCTGTGTCACTCTTGTATCCTCAGTGCCTGGGACAATGCTTAGCTCACATAAGGTATACTGGGCATTCAGTATAAATTTGTCAAAGGACTGACTGACTGTTCTGGAGGCCTCACTCCTATGTTCTGAAAGTATTCATTCTCAGCAGTAGAAATCACAGCAGTTGGCCAACATGGTGAACTCTACTAAAAATACAAAAATTAGCTGGGTGCAGTGACACACACTCGTATTCCCAGCTACTCAGGAGGCTGAGGCAGGAGAATCACTGGAATCCAGGAGGCGGAGGTTGCAGTGTGCCAAGATTGCACTCCAGGAAGAAAGAAAGAAAGGAAAGAAAAGAAAAGAAAAGAAAAAGGGAAAGAAAGAAAGGAGAAAGGGGAGAGGGAGGGATGGGGGAGAGAGAGAGAGAAAGAAATAAAAAGAAAGAAAGAAAGAGAAAGAAAGAAAGCACAACAGTTAATATTTACTGGTGTTTCACTTTGTCCCAAACACCATGTGAAACACTCTATCAGCTTTACCCGTGGAACCCCCCAACAGCATTATGAGGGTCTGACTTTTATTTCTATCTTACACACAAGGGAATTATGGCACAAAAAGATTCCATGGGCTGGGCCGGGTGGCTCACGCCTGTAATCCCAGCACTTTGGGAGGTTGAGGTGGGTGGACTGTTGATCAGTTTGGTCAACATGGTGAATTGAAACCCCATCTCAACTAAAAATATAAAAAAATAGCCAGGCATGGTGGCATGCACCTGTAGTCCTAGCTACTCACGAGGCTGAGGCAGGAGAATCGCTTGAATCTAGAAAGTGGAGGTTGCAGTGAGCCAAGATTGCGCCACTGCACTCCAGCCTGGGTGATGTGGGTGACAAAGCGAGACTCCAACTCAAAAAAAAAAAAAAAAAAAAAAAAGGAAAGAAAAAGAAAAAGACTAACATGTCCCATGTCCTCCTGCCAGT